GGGTGCAATGGCACGATCACTAGAGCCTTGACCTCCTGGGCTCAAGCAATCCTCCTATCTCAGCTCCCCAGGTAGCTGGGACTACAGGTGCACACCACCATGATCAGTTAATTATTTTTTGTAGAGATGAGGTTTCGCCATGTTGCTCAGGCTGGTCTCAAACTCCTGAGCTCAAGCAACCCACCCGCCTCTGCCTCCCAAAGTGCTGGGATTACAGGCATGAGCCACTGTGCCCAGCCTGGCACTTAATTTGTAAAAGCCACACCATTTCTAACAGGAAGGTAAAAATACCAGGTCATTTCAGAAACCCCAGACTTGGGCAACTCCACTCACTAACGCAGTGTGCTACCTCAAAGCCAGTGTGGCATGAGGCTTCAAGTACAGCACTGGGGCTGTGCTGAGGGATCCTGGTTCAAATCCCCACTCCTAGCCCTAGAACCTTACAGTGGCCTAAGTACACCAAGACTCCCTCAAGGTATTCTGCTGCTTTCAGTGACAGTGCATGTGCCCAGCCCATGAGCTAACTGCACTCATTTCTTCTGAATCTGAACATCTCTAAATATCAGACAAAGCTGTATGAAAAAAGCCCCCAAGACTCTGAAACTAGAATGGGATGCCAGTTATAAAACTTCTCTTTAAAGTTACCCATCCTGGTGAATGAGGCATCAGGAAGCTACTGCAGCTTGTGTCTGATTCGGAAAGGTGGATACCTTTCCTCATCCATCACAAGGGGCACAGCCGACACTCTTATAACAAAAGAGATTAACAAGAGAAAAGCATAAGATTTATTTAAGTCTTACGTGACACAGGAGCCTTCAGAAATGACCCAAAGACTCAAGAGAAACTGTCCATGTTTACACTGATTCAATGATCAGTGGATGGCCATGAGGAAATGTGACTAGACAAAAAGGGAAGGGTCTAGGTCCTCCAACTCAACATCTGAAATGTGTATAAAACAAGAATTCATCTGCAAAAAATCAAATTACTTTTAGAAAGGTTTAAATTTTGAAAAGTCGCAACTGTCAAATTTAAGAAAACCGATCTTAGGCCGGGCATGGTGGCTCAGGCCTGTAATCCCAACACTGTGGGAGGATCACTTGAGCCCAGGAGATTGAGACCAGCCTGGGCAACAGAGTGAGACTTCATGTCTACAAAAAAAAAAAATCAAAACACAGCCGGGCATGGTGGCACATGCCTGTCATCTCAGCTACTGAAGAGGCTGAGGTGGGAGGATCTTGAACCTGGGAGGTCAAGGATGCCGTGAGCCATGATTGCACCATTGCACTCCAGCCTGAGTGACAGAGGAGACCCTGTCTCAAACAAAAAAAAAAGAAAGGAAAAGAAAGCTGATTTTACTTTAAAAACTAAACCAGAAATCATGTTTCATATTGCAATCTTAAGCTTTTAACTTTTGACTGTCAAGATAGGTCTTATTTGTGTAATTCTTTCCAATAAGATCATGATTACCAAGTGCTTAAAATGTATTACAGTTGTTTCAGAGATTAAACATTTTCTAAGTTAATAAAATGAGACTTTCTAATTATAAAAACGTGCTATTTTTTAGTCTACTCCTCAGTAGACTTATGACATTTTTGTAAAGAATGGAAATGGCAATAATTTTTCTCCTTCCTTCTTAATGATCAATCCAGTGAGACCAAGGTGGACTTCCTGATGCTTCTGCAAGGCTCCGTGTTCAACCAAAAAAAGGCAAAAGCATGTAAGTCACACGTGGGCAAGACAACTGAACCCACCAGGTCCTGTTATTTTAATAAGGAGCATTTACATTATGATAGCAAGTTTCAACACATTCATCAACAAGGCGGTCTTCAAATCAGTCAACCCCCGGAGTTTAGAAAACAGAGTCATGAGGAAGAGCTGCTCGGCTGTAGGAAGCAGGGTTAATGACCTCTAATTCCCAGGAAAGGGGCAGACTGAAGCCAGAGCCAGAATCCTGGCAATTCACCAGTTTCTCATCACAGGTAAAAAGGCAACTGCATCCCACACAGCTCTGAGGGGGAGGCCTCCCAGGAGGGGCAAGCCTAAGGTTTGGGTGTCCCAGACCCTGAATGGAAGCCCCAGCTCCCAACCTGTAGCTGTGCCCTTGAGAGAGCTGCTTTCTCCCCTCACCTGCAAAGGAGAATTCCACAAACTACCTAACCTATTTCATTGGTTTTAGTTTTCCTTTCCATTTTTGATCAAGAGCTTTTATTTAAAAATAAAAAAAGTTCATTCCTGCAGGCTTATTTCCCCTAAACAATTCCCTAAGAAGCCTTCCTACAAAGAAGGTACAAACACACAAGTCAAGAGGAGTGAACAGCTCTGCCTGTATGAGGGACTTTCTGGTTCCTATTCAACCGGCCTCTTCTAGAAAGGAAATTCTGACATGTGAGGTTTGGTTTCTAAGAGTTAACAGGCAAACAGATGGCAGCCCCCATCATCGAGAGCCTCCCCACAGCACCAGCTCTATGCTAAGCACCATGCAGCTTTAACCTGGCAGGATGCCACACGAAGCCCCACTACAGACTCAACAGAGCCAGCTGAGAAAGGGAGGGCAGGCAGAGCTGGCCACAGGCTCTGGCCTGGGTCCATGCTCCCAAAAGCATAGCAGTGCTTCTCAGGACAGAAATGTGTCCAGACGTGAAAACTCTCCATACAAAACCTGCCTGAACGGTCCCTCCCACCATAAGCACCCAACAAGGCCTCATGTGTGGGACAACATCCAAATGTCACATTGTCACCTTTCCTTGTGAACTGATTTCTCAAATTCAGAAAACAACTTTGTTTGTCTCTAGAATTTGAGGATCAGAGAGGATTTCAATTCTGATAAAACATTTCTACAAGAGCAGGCTCAATTATAAACCCATACGCAAACTCTCTTTTTGTTAGAAAATTCAATAGGGGAAGTTCAGTTGGGCTCAAGAATCTTACTTTACTTTCTAAAATACACTAATAAAATCAGATTAGGAATGGCCATCAATCTGCTTGCATGAACAAGATCTCTTGACCTTCCCCATGTCTGGCTAAAAACAACTAGAAAATAGAAATATGCTGCATTGTCACCCCAACTTACCTGGAGTCAGCGGAGCCAATGACCACCAGAATTTAAGAGGATAAATTCATATAGGACACAGGGGAAATTCCCCAAAAACTCTCAACACTCATCCTGACTCAAACCAGGATGGCTCAACAAAGAATAATGTCACTGGTATCTTATGTCCTACAGGAGTCAACCAAAGGGAAAGGAGGTCTTCCTAAAATGCACTAACCACATGACCTTATCAGAACAATGGCCTCTGGCCAGAACAGTGCTTCCTAAATTGGAGGTAGCCATTTATGTTAAAAGTTGTGCATTTTATTTATTTGTATGTGCATTAGAAAAAAATGGGCTTACTGAATCTGAGATGGCAAAGATATTCTTGCTTAGGATAAAGTGAAGTTAAAAGTTGACTTAGAAAATATACTAGGACAGTTGGCACTTAAGGAAAAAGCAGTATGCAAATGATTTAAGTTTGAGGTAAGTATACAAAAAAAGTACGGAGCCCTCCTCCATGACACACACATCCCTGCAGCCAATGGCTTCATAAAATTTCAGTTAAAATTCTATTTGTATCTGCATTTAAAAAGTTTTATTTATACAATGATTTTCATCTTAAATAGAAACAAGGAAGTTGTCATGGACCAATGCTCTAAAGAGCCTTATTTAATTACACAGAACGCCAAGAAAATCCACCACCATAGGCATCCTAACACCTAGCAGGAAGCAAGGCCTCATCGAGCTTTCTGACTTGTACAGACCAGCCTCTGTCACACACAAATACAGCACTCTACTCCTTACACAACCAAAACAGAGAAAACCAGCCTGAGCTGAGGAGACAGCAACAGTGTGCAGGTGGTGGGCTCACCTTACCTAGGCCTAGGAATAGACGCATTTCATCCTGTTTATTCTTGTCTGAATTACTGACTTCCGCTTCCCTTTCCTTATCACCACCAGACAGTGCCAGCATCTTAACTGCCTAAACAGGGTGGGGTAATATATGAAGAGAATGTGTCGCAAGTACAAAAAAAACTAAGAACCACGAGGTGAATTTAGCCATCCCATTTGAAGCCTGCTTGTGGAAGCCTAGTGAAGCAACTATTTCTCAAATATGTTAGATTCAGGATCAAAAATACTGTTAAAATTTTCATGGACTTCAAACTGTTCTCAATAGGAGGACCAAAGGACCTTGAAAGTCCAAATCAATGTTTATTATAAACAAGTGGACCAAGTGTGGTGGTCCTGCCTGTAAATTCCAGCACTTTGGGAGGCTGAAGCAGGAGACCTCATCTCTACAAGAAATAAAAAAATTAGGTGGGCATGGTGGTGGCAGCCTGTGGTCCCAGTTACTCAGGAGGCTGAGGCAGGAGGATCGCTAGGCCCCGAGAAGTCGAGGCTGCAGTGAGCCATAATCGTGCCACTGCACTCCAGCCTGGGTGACAGAGCCAGACCCCGAATAAAAAAAAAAGAAAAAAAAAAAAAAAGGAGTGATGCTTACAACAAATGACAATACTTTCCCATTCTTTGTCATGACTACCCACTCTTCTAGACCTTATGAAAAAGTGCTTGTTGTATCATATTCAATGAGAAATCATTTTCCTCTGAAATGTTTCTTGATAATTCACTACTGGTGCCTTGTGAAATGAGAGTCTAAACCTGCAGACATCCTACACTGCCTCTGCAATTTAACCAGTGCCGAGCTCAGCAATGACATCAGAAACTAATTTCCGTTGTTTTTCCTAACTGTAAAGAGATCTTTCACCAGCGAGGGGAGCCATTGTGTTGGCAAAGGAGTTGTCCTAAATACTGCTGTGTACTGCATTCCGCGACAGTTCTCCATTTTCTGAAGACTGCCTTTCTTAACTGCTAGAAGATGCTCATGTACTAAGAAAAAGAGATTTAATGTGGGTTAATTATAGTAGCTGTATGTTTAATATTGCTGTAAAGATATACTTTTTTCATACAATTATTGTTAATAATTTGAAGATGTTTATTGCATTCTATTTTTGGTGGGAAAAAAATGTAACATACATTTATTTAGCACGACATTGTGAAATACACAAAACATGTAACTGAGTAAGCAGGAATTTTCTATTCCTAGTCCATTTCTGAGGACTAAATCATGAACTGCTTCCAATGTAATTAAATATTTCTTGCAATAAGTTGGGCACCAAGTTCAAGATTTATTAATTTTCTCCTCTCAGTATAGGCAGCAATTCACCATTTTCTTTCAGTTCCTAAAAATGAAAAACAATAATAATAATATGTATATGCATATATAAAAAGATGGAAACATCTAAACAATCACAGCTTGTATGTATATCTGAGAACCAAAAGAAACACTTATTGGATTAAAACTCCAGTCTTTTAACACTCTAAAACTAAATGTGCCATAAAACCTCAATACACTATCAGGTTAAAAAAATAACAAGGTATTCTTGGCCAACTGTGGTGGCTCACAAATGTAATCCCAGCATTTTGGGAGGCCGAGACAAGCAGATCACTCGAGGCCAGGAGTTCAAGACCAGCCTGACCAACATGGTGAAATCTGTCTCTTAAAAAATAAATAAATAAAGCTGGGCACAATGGCTCATGCCTGTAATCCCAGCACTTTGGGAGGTCGAGGTGGGCAGATCACCTGAGGTCAGGAGTTCAAGAACAGCCCGGCCAACATGGTGAAATCCTGTCCCTACTAAAAATACAAAAATTAGCCAGGCATGGTGGCAGGTGCCTGTAATCCCAGCTACTCAGGAGGCTGAGACAGGGAGAACCTCTTGAACCCGGGAAGCAGAGGTTGTAGTGAGCCAAGATCATGCAATTGCACATCTCATTCATAAATAAATAAATAAATAAATAAATGAATGAATGAATGAATGAATGAATGAATGAAGTTAAGGTATCCTAAAACCAACAGATTGTTTAGTATTAGGACACGGAGCAACCGGAGCCAATGAAGCCCCCTATTTAAACTACAGCAATAAATAAGGAAACTAAATCAAGTGACTTTCAAGGTTGAAGAATGAAGCAACATGGCTGGGCGCAGTGGCTCACACCTATAATCCCAGCACTTTAAGAGGCCAAGGGGGCAGATCACTTGAAGTCAGGAGTTCAAGGCCAGCCTGGCCAACATGACAAAACCCATCTTTACTAAAAACACAAAAATTAGCCAGGTGGGTGTGGTGGCATGTGCCTGTAATTCTAGCTACTTGAGAGGCTGAGGCATGAAAATTGCTTGAACCCAGGAGGTGGAGGGTGCAGTGACCCAAGAGCCAAGATCACCCCACTGCACTCCAGCCTGGGTGACAGAGTGAGACTCTGTCTCCAAAAAAACCAAAAAACAAACAAACAAAAAAAGCAGTGTGACGTTAAAAGCCTACTCAAATATGATGTTTGTTCCCCTCCCGTTCTTCCACTCACAGAGAGGAAACAGGCTTTGCTATTAAAACCCAACCTGGCAATACATCTCTGTCTCAGGAAAAGCTAGAGTACCAGTAATAGGGCAAGGCAGAAACCATCAAAAAGACCTAACAATTCAGAAACAGACATGGCATCAAAAGAGCTACCACTAGATTGACTGAACTGCAGTACAGGCGCCATGCTCCTTGTGCCGGTTTTTCACATTTAAAATCTGGAGTATAGACCCCAAGTTTGAAAGGAGAGACATGATAAATAAAATGTTCTGGTTTAAACAAACATTTAATATGATATAACATCTCAGGTTATCACTGAGCAGCGTAAACATCAATCAATAAAACCATTAAAATCCGTATGACCTCCTCTCTGGATGAAATTCAAATAGGAATGATGCTGTCACACAAAACCCAGACGGCTTTCAGTCATGTCTAGGGATCTTCTTCTACTATTCAACGAGCAGACACCCTGCCGCTCCAAGGGACCCAGCAGGACTTTTCTGAGCACACGCTCAAGGAGGCAGAGAGAGGACCATGCAGCTGAGTGGGCAAGGGCAGGTGGCCCTCAGGTGGAATCTGGACTCAATGGATTACTAGTGATGGGATGGTTGACAACTCACCTGACCTCTCCATGTCTCTGTTTTCTCATTCTTCTGCTGACAGAAGAATTCTGCTCTCTGAGGCTGCTTGGGAGATTACGTGAAGCAGCCTCTTAAAGCACCAAAGCAGTGTGCCTGGAACACTGGGAGTGCGCCAAATAAGGAAGTCCTCACCATCCTCACTGCTGTTAATGTGAGTCGGCAGGTGAAACATCTAAACCTAACCAAACCAAATCTTCTAAATCTCTCTCAACAAACTGTGTTAAGTACAAACATTCTGCAACAGCAGCAGTGAACCGTTTACTCTTCAGAGGCAGTAACAACTCACAATTTTCTCAGGACACTAGATTGGCTGAGTAACGAAATCATTATTCAGTCACTCATTCAACAAAACAAATGCTTATTGCTCCAAAGAGGCCAGCCAGATTAGACCATTTCAAACATCTTTTAATTGAACTGAACATGAAGAACTGCATTCTGCAAGAAACAGATCAAAATGGCATCGAAAGAGCTATTCCATATATCAAGGAAAAACGTTAACAATCACACATTTCAAATGTGTATGTTCTTAGCAGGTAAACATAAAAAAATCATATAACACTCTGTTATATAACTAAAAAGAAGTTATCCACGCAGCTTAGCTTTAGAATTAAATGAGATTTATTGATTGTATCTTCCCAAGAGTTACCAATGGCTAAGGTACAGGCTATAAAACATTCAGACAAGAACAGGCTCAAGAGTATTTGGGGTGTGAGTACTGTTTGTGTCTTACAAAAATAAGATTTTATATATATATATATATATAGAGAGAGAGAGAGAGAGACAAAGGGAGGGAGGGAGGGAACGGGAGGAGAAACAAATGCAGATCCGTTTTTGCTGCTTCAGGGCTATACAAGAGCTATAGTCTTAAACATTTTCTCCTCCAGGAGTGAGACCATTCCCCAGGAAAAATGTCTCACTGGCTTGTTGGAGACGTATGAGATCAAACCTGGAACTCCACCAGAAACAAAACCAGCACAGAGGCCACCACAGGACAAAAACAGCCTCTGCAGTCAATGGCGCTCAAGCTTTGTTTCTATAAAACATATTGGTCCAAAGTGCTGATGTCATTTCAGTGGTAAGCTAGTGCTTCACTTTACAAAAGCATGTGTTAAAAACTTTTATTTTGGCCAGGCGCGGTGGCTCACGCCTGTAATCCCAGCACTTTGGGAGGCCAAGGCGGGTGGATCACCTGAGGTCAGCAGTTCAAGACCAGCATGGTCAACATGGTAAAACCCCATCTCTACTAACAATACAAAAATTAGTGGGGCGTGGTGGTGTGCGCCTGTAATCCCAGCTGCTCGGGAGGCTGAGGCAGGTGAACCACATGAACCTGGGAGGCAGAGGCTGCAGTGAGCCAAGATTGCACCATTGCACTCCAGCGGGGCAACAAGAGTGAAATTCCGTCTCAAAATAAATAAATAAATAAACTTATTTTACAACATAACTAGAAGTAGTACTACCTGCTATTTTTTTTCCACATAAAAAGTCGGAAGATCTGACCTCAGAGAAAATTCTCTAATGGACTGAGGCAAGAGGAAGGTCTGAGGGCAGTCGGCAGCCCACCTTTCAGGGCAGTTCTGTTCTTGTCCCCGAGCAGAACCTGGCATTCCTGCCCAACATTCCTATCTAGCTCCTCTCTATACCCACCCGGCTACCACCCTCCTCGATACCACCATGCCCACAGTGGGCCTGGGGTGCAGTGGGGCCTGTGGGTAGATATTAAAGCTACAGCTTCTGTTTACTGTTTTGGGCTAATCAAAGAGCTATGGAGCACACAAGTGCTAGTTGGTGGGCCTGCCCTAAATTCTAGACATTAAATATGAGCAAAGTCATGTCCATTTAAAACTCAAGGAAGAAGTCAAGTCACTTATTCATCCAACAACCATTTACTGAACTCCTAAAATACACAAAGCATCAGGAAGGACTCAAGATACATAAGAAATGGTGTCTTATCTAAAACACTTACAATCTAACAGGTAACAGATTTCCAAACATCTGAAAACCAAAAAGCGACCTACATTTTTTCTCTCGGGGGACCAGGGGCAGTGATCTTCAGCCTCTGTGGCAAGGATGGGCAGCATTGGGCCATAGGCCTCACACTGCTGTCAGTCCATGCACCCAAGGGCAGGTGAGTAAGGCAAGAAAAAATAATTTGTTGGCTGGGAGCTGAAGCAGGATCTTACAAGGACCCTGACTGGCAGATAAGATCACCCCACAGAAAGGGGATGAAATGGCTAGTTCAGGTGTGGAAGTAAGAACAGGCTGCCAGGTGGGGACACTGAGAATGGCAGGGTACTTATTCACACAGAAACGGTGATACTGGTCTAGAAATGCCTGAGAGTCAGGCTGGAAACAGGAGTCAAAAACAACTCTCAAGTTTCCATTCAATATGAAATCATTTTTAAACACACCAAAGTCTTCTCCGTTCTTTAGAAGAGCAGAAGAACTGACTTACCTTCACGATATCCAATCCTCCCACCAGCTCCCCTTTCACATACAGCTGAGGGTACGTTGGCCAATTTGAGTAGGCTTTTAATCCTTGCCGAACCTAAAGAAACAACAGGAGTCCGGAAACCATCCTGTCAGGCCCTTATGATTAAAGCTAAGACAAAGGTGAAACAGCAAACACAGAACTTACTTCTTCATCCTCCAATATATCGAATGTTTCATATTCAACACTGGAAAAAAGAGAAGACATTTTAACTGGAAATACAGTTAAATCAAATTGTAAAACCTCTATGCATTTGATGTTTTTAAAATAATCAAGAAAACTATTTCGTTGCTAACAAAATGTACTATAGACCAATGGAAATGATTTTACTTCTTAATCTGTCTGGTACTACACAGAATTAGTCATTCCAAGATACGACTTTATTTAGATTTTTCTCCGGACAATATTGGGTTAGACCAGGGATGGGGAAACTTCTTCTTAAAGAGTGAGACAGTAAACACTTCAGGCTTTAGAGGCCAGTCTCTGTTTTAACTGCTCAGTTCTGCTGGGTAGCACTAAAGCAGCCACAGACAACATATAAATGAAGGGATGTGGCTATGTGCCAATATAAATTTATTTACAAAAATGGGCAGCCACCTGCAACTTGCCAACCCCTGGGTCAGACCCACATCCCCATCTGCACAAGCCTTCATTAACTGAACACTCTCATCCACTTCTAATATCTAATCCACCCCCGGCTGCTGCTTCTTAACCTCCTGGAAGCTGCCCGTGGAGCAGGAAGTAGTAGTGCTCGTGGATGGAGGCTGGAGGGCTCAGCAGCCAGATGACAACCACGCTGCCAGTTCCCTCCACCTTAGCAAGAGACATGCTTTCCACACTTAAACTTATTTCAGAGAGGGTGCTGTTTTTAATGTACAAAAGGCCAATGAAAGCTTTGTGGCTTTATGCCGTACAATGAACATTACTCATACAAAGAAAAATCACTGCATGAATGTCCAACTGTATCTACTCAGAGTGATTTCACCGTTAGGTGGTCAGGTATTAGCAAGCATGTATGCCTAAATCCTTGCAGGGTGCCTGAGGGTACAGGTGCAATTTCCAAAAGTGGTCAAAGAAAATGCTACATGTAAAAAAAAACTAGACTTTCCATAAAACTGAAACCATCACAGGGAAATCTTGTTTATTTAGTAAACAAGTTCCCAAGGAAACTGTCTATGGTGCAGGGAACACTTAAAAAAAAAAAAAAAAAAAAAAACTAAATGACAGGATAAATCAGAAGCAATTACCAAAAAAGGAATGTTTGAAAGAAGAGCAAAAAAGGACCCCAATGTAAACCTCATGTTTTTTAAAAAACCCAATGTAAGTCTTTGTTCAAGCTGAACTAACTAAAGGTGGCAGATCTCTTAACACTGTGATAAAAACAATAAGTTATAAAACTATTCATAAAGGATCCAGGAAGCACTGGGCCCAAGTGTATGCATGTGGAGTCCTAACAGTCAATACACTTCCTAAGAGTTATTCATAAAGGGTACCTTTCAAACCTCAATATATACTTGGTTCTCAGCCACTCATGCATGTGTATTTTGGCTACTAGGAAAAGATAAGAAATGAGAAAAAGTAAAAAGGAGTTTTCTCCACATACTTTGACTCCAAACAAGAGCATGGTCTGTTCACGTTAAAAGAAGCTGAGGTCCTGGATGGCCTCACTCATCCTAGAGCCAATCATGCTTAGCAAGTCCGGAGCTGGGAGTCATTCTCTCCCAAAGTAGCCTCCTGCTCTCTGCGACAACAGGGTGCTTTCAGTACAATGGAGATTAGACAGATACAGGACAGAAAGCCAAGTCACCAAGATGTTCCATCACAGACATGAGCTGGGTCAGGCCCAGTGTGTCGGCTCAGAAGACACCTGAGGAACCTGGTGCTGCTTAGGGAGGGATGGACTGTGTGTGTCTCACTGTGGGGCTGCAGCAGAGGGTTGACAAAGAAAAAGCAAAATGACCAAAAACAAGCCAGCCCCCACCGTATGGCCCAGGGCAGGAGTGAAGAAAGGAACAGGCTGGAAGTTACCATCACAATACACTCACTGTACTTGCCTCTATAAAATGTCATAATAATCTGAAGAAAACAACCACATCTTTTTTTTTTTTGAGACAGAGTCTCACTGTCACCCAAGTGGGAGTGCAGTGGCTTGGCTTCAGCTCACTGAAATCCACCTCCTGGGCTCAAGTGATTCTCCCAGCCTCAGCCTCCTGAGTGGCTGGGATTATAGGCGTGTAGGCGTGCGCCACCACACCCGGCTAATTTTTGTATTTTTAGTAGAGGCGGCATTTCACCATGTTCACCAGGCTGGTCTCGAACTCCTGACGGCAAGTGATCAGCCCACCTCGACCTCCCAAAGTGCTGGGATTACAGGTGTGAGCCACTGTGCCTGGCCCCATATTATTTTTATGTCCCTGAAATTGTATTCAGCATGTGCTATTCAACTGACGATTTTCAATAGATCTTTGAAGTATATCAAAGATTACTTGAAAGTAATTTATTTAAAGTTACAGTTAGAATATATGATTTTTAAAAGATGCAATTATGAAATGATGAGAAATAAACAAAAATATTTGACAAACCCTACAGAACATGTGCTATATATATCTCCAAATAAGTGCTTTTGTTTTTAACCACGAAAATCAATGGCAGTGTTCTTACCTGACAGCTTCACCACTGAGCACATTAAAACTAGGCGCACTGCAATTTAACTTGCGTTACACCTCTCAGATCCAGGTAATGGACTTTAATATGCACCCCTCAGCTTTTTGTATTGTTTAGCAACTAGGATATATGAGAAAAATTAAAAACTACCTATAATATATTCTCCCTGAAATATATTTATGCATGGTGAGGACTCAGTTACACATCTTCCTCTGGGAAAGTAGACAAATAGTTATTCCAAAGGTTGCCTAAGGACCTCCTTTATGTTACTAATAGGTTGACACTGGCCAGAAAATACTATTTTGGTCTAAGTTAAGGCATTCATAAAATAATACAGCAAAAATAATGAAAAGATACAAATATTTATGGATATAGACATTACAACTGAAAAGCACCAGTGGCAGAACGGAAAAGTTGAAATATTTTTTTCTTTTTTTTGAGACAGGGTCTTGCTCTGTCACCCAGGCTGAGTGCAGTGGTGCAATCACGGCTCACTACAGCCTCACCCTCCAAGACTCCAGTGATCCTCCCACCTCAGTCTCTCAAGTAGCTGGGACCACAGACGTATGCAACCAGGCCTGGCTTTTTTTTTATTTTTTGTGGAGAAGGGGTCTCACTATGTTGTCCAGGCTGGTCTCAAACACCTGGGCTCAAGCAATCTTCCTGTCTCAGCCTCCCAAAGTGCTAGGATTATAGACATGAGCTACTACGCCTGGCCACGTTGGAATTTTTGGGGTTGTTTTTTGAGTTTTAAAAGTTTAACTTTATTTTTTTTACTAAGGTCCAGAAATTTCTGTAAGACAAGTACATTAATGAAATGTTTCCAAAGAAATACTGAACAATATACACTCTAGTTTGCTGAAGGTTCCAGCTCAAAAGTTCAAACCTAATTCTTGTGCAATAAAAATCAGCATGGATAGCAGATCATCTAAAATACACTGTGTTTTGAAATCCACAGCTGGTTTCATTTTTAACCATAATGAAAAACCAGTACTCCTATTCCATCAAATGTGTTTTATAAGCAATAATAAATTCAGATCCACTGTATTATGCAACACACATCTTTGGAAAGCAACATCAACAGTGAGATCAGATCAGTAGAAATATACACAGTGAAAAGAAATACACAAAGTACTGTAGTTTTATTAAAAACTACTACTTCAGAAAGAAATCTTTCCACAAATAGCATAAAACTGTAGAATGATGAAAGGATTTGGGAAAGCTTTACAAAAGCTTAATTCCAATTCTATCTTCCTGAGAGTGGTGGCAAAGGGTATTTCCTTCCTTCTCTGGGACATCTGAAAACAACATTTACATACCCAGTACTATTTAGTATTTCCAGAATTTGTTTGCTGAATCCACATTTTGCTTCCTAGATGAAAAAAAAATTTGTAAAGATTACATTTTTTATATGACCCAAGCAGCACGGTTGTACCTAAAACTCGGTCAACCAGCACAGCACTCGTCCATCGTGGTTGCCACTGCTTTCACTCAGCTAGCAGAGCTTCTGCCCAATCCCTTCTTCAAGTACGAACCATCTGCACATCAACCCAGGCACACATGACCCACAGACTTACTTTGGTTTGTAACCACTTGAGATGACATGTGTTCCAACAGTTTATAATCTCTGTAGTCAAAAAGTTCCTCTAAGTGAAACCTAGATTTTCTACAAAGATTTCAGTTCATTATTCACTTCACTCATGCAAAATGATCTTAACTCACTTAGTCTTTTTGCAATGATTATGACAATTATTTTCCCATTTCCAACTGGACTCTGACTCCTTTTTTTTTTTTTTTGAGACGGAGTCTCACTCTGTCGCCCAGGCTGGAGTGCAATCTCGGCTCACTGCGACGTTCACTTCCCAGGTTCAAGCGATTCTCCTGCCTCAGCCTCCAGAGTAGCTGGGACTATAGGCGCACGCCACCACGCCCCACTAACTTTTGGTATTTTTAGTAAAGATGGGGTTTCACCATGATGGCCAGGATGGTCTCGATCTCTTGACCTCAGGATCCACCTGCCTTGGCCTCCCAAAGTGCTGGGATTACAGGCATGAGCCACCATGCCCGGCCTCATTTATTTTTACATTACAGAATGCTAACACTTTTTTGAGTTTATGAAAATCTTAAGCTTTTTTCATGCCACAGGACTCCAAATTCCAGCAATCTTGTGGAAAAGATATGGTACCATGTAAACATTTTAATAGCCCTAATAACACTGTTTCCAAAATGTATTAAAACTTTCTAGGTTTCCAGAAAAAAAAAGTTTTGAGAATAAATATCCGCTTAAACAATTACCAAGAATAAGAAAAAAATGTCACTTTATCATTACTAGGAATTATTAACTTCCTCTATTGTTTCAATACACTGAAGCAAAACCAAAGAATTTAGGCTCTAACCTAATGATTCCAACATGCTGAAATTTACATTAACATTTTATTTGTTACTGTTACTTTCATTACCTAATTATATTAACCAATTAGTTATGTTAACTAATTAGCTTCATTATACTAGTTATGTTAACTTACACACTAGTTATGGCAACCAGAGTCTGCCCTGTGAAGAAGTATTGAGTCCCTTTCCCAATGAGCAAAGTGGCAAAGTGGTTCTCTGTGTCACTTGCCCAGTGCATCTGGCTAACAAGTGAGGCAGTTTCTTTATTCCAACAGCCTCACCTTTCAAAGCTTTGGTTTCTTTATCTCTAAAATAGGCCAAACTCTGTCCAACCCTGCCTACTTCAACAACTGATTGAGAATTAAATAGAGGTTCAATTGCTATGAAAACTACAAAATATGGTATAAATGTGTATGGCTGGTTTCTGGAAATTACCACTCTGATCTCAATCTGAAAGAAAATTAGTTCTGCTCAAACTATTAGTGGAAGTAATCTATCAAACTTGATATTCACAATGACGCACAATCAATATGCACTTTCGTCAAAAAGCTACAAGAACCATCCCACTACAAATGAGAACTGCTGACCATCTCACTCATCCATCACACACACACAGAGCACACCTGCTGCAGCCAGGGTTTGCCCCTCCCCTGTCACAAAAGGACGATCTAGGGGTGCAAACCCAAGCACGACCAGGTTCCCTGCATTCAGGAAGTCCAATGACTCAGCTGCACACTCCAGCAGTCCACAAACTCCAACAAAGGATAATGAAATAACAACTCATACAACCAGTAAAGTGTTAACAGTGTTGACCACGTTAGCTGACAAAGTTTGGCAGTAGAAAGAAATGCACCCCACTGAGATGTTGATGATAAAGTCAAGCAAAATGTAGATTACTTTGTTTGATCTCCGTAAGCACCAATTAAGGCCTGGATAACTTCCTGATACCGCTACAGCTTCATTAGCTAAAGCTAGGAAAAAGAGACTTAACTGTCCCCTTGTTGCAGATGTTAACATCAAAAGAAATTACAAATAAAACCATTTTTGAGTTCTTTACCTGTTTGTTTCCTTTCATAAAGAGCATCACAGAAGCTTTATTTGTCAGCACTTTGAGCCTAAAGAGAGAAAATTGATATAAAACGGCTCAGCTCAATTATGCAACACCACTTTTCCTCCGCTTCGTGAGTAACATGCATATTTGAGGGATGGCAGGATGACAGTTCACAGCTTTGAGTGGTATTAAACAAGCAAATGCGTTGACATTTTCCTTGATTTCATTCTCTCCCTAAGCCACTGTAAAACACAATATGGCTTTTAAGGCAAAGAATGTTCCTTCAAGTTGCAATTTAAGCCCATCAACTCACAGTAATAAAAAAATAATAATAATAACCAATTCAGTAAGGAATTGTTCAATAAGGGGCCTATATATTAAGCCTATCCAAAACTTCCAGAACTAGATCTTGTGTGCACCATCTTCCATCATGATGCTGCACACCACTGTACACGTGTAAAGCTCACAAGGTCAGACTGAAGGGTGACAGCGTTAAACCTCAGAACATCAACTAATGTCAGATGCTAAAATCAAATACGTTCATCTTAACATTATATTTTATATAGTCTTGCCAACATCATAATCTAATATGTTGTCAGAAATTTTAATTATCTGTATACAGCCACAAGTTTAGTCACAAATCTCAGGAAAAGTCAGTGTTGGGACGACAGGTCACTAAAGAACCTAAGCTCCATGGGGTCACGCCACCATGTTCTCCCAATTCAAGGCTCAAAAATATCCTTATAAACGAATCCCAAATGAAATGCATAAATCATGCACAAAGCTGTATCACTTACATTGCCAACCGAGTGGGATTAGCTCAAGTTCAGAAAAATATGAATGGATACAGGAATACGATGCTGACCCTGACAACCCAATAACTAACCCAGCCACCTGGATACAGGGAACCACAGCTCACAATGTACTGCCAAAATACAGGTCACAAGTCCATGAACTCCACTTCCTGCACTCTGCTCACTAGGAGCCCTTTAAATTATCACTCAAAATATGCTGAATTTTACTTTCTACATAATTCTAGCCAGTTACCTTTCGGTGTCTGCAAGCACAGATTTAGAAACAGCACATTAGGAAAACAAAGGTCCGATGGAGACAAGGCCATTAACAGCAGCAAGTGTACTCGGCAGAGAAGGAAAATCAACTGAACAGCAAATACAAGCATATAAAAAGCACAGCTGTCCTTGGAGAACACACAGCCTCCATGGGCCATGGGCATCACCAGGCTACAGGCAAGAACCACACATGAAGACGCCCAGAGTCAACAAAGGAAAGCGGAGCATCACTTTCTCACGAAGAACGCAGGAAATGGTACAAACCACAGGACAGAATGCGGTACTCAAAGATCAGCCTTACATACGTGGAATGGAACATTATTTATAGAAATTATTAATTAACGACAGACAAATGAGGTATTTATTATTATTACACACTTTTAGAAATTCTCAAGATGTTACATGGCAAAAAAAAATTACCAAAGGAAGGTTTATCTTACAATCTCCAGCCCCAACTATGAATGGCTGATTGCTGATATAGTAAGTTCCTTTTTAAAGTTCTATATTAATTCACTTTTACTGCAATAAAAATCCCATTAAGTTGCCTTATACACCAAAGTCCAACATTTCTGTAAGAGAACTTCTCCAAAAGCCAAGTGAGATCCTTGATAAAACAAATACATGTTTCACAGCCTCAAAACCTGCTCATGTAAGTTCTCGTGGTCTAGAAAGGCCATGAGAAGTGCCCAAAGCTTGTTGCGAGGTGATGAGCTTTTCACACTCACCACTTGTCACTCAGTGCTCTGGCGTTGGGGCAGCACCCGCAGCAGTCACCAAGGCTGCACCCAGGAAAACACGAGTGTGCTGAGGTTACGCCAAGGAGCAGTGACAAGACAACTGGACCCTGGCTCTGAAATGCAGAGAGGTAAGCAAAATTTGGTTGTTCCACAGAAACAATGACATTTCTATAAAAGCAAAGAAGATCTTCCACATGATCATTAAGTTGGTGCTAAAATTTCTCCAATCCAAATTAGATTTGCCAAAGTTTGCATGGCTAGTTTGACTAAACAATGAAATTATGACCTCTGGCATACAAATACCAAATCCCTGATTTCTACACAGAAAGAGCAATGCAAAACCTGAGGACTTTAAAATATTTTTAACATATTAAATGACAGACTATTTAAAACTTTCTAAAACACTTACCTTTCCTCTAATTTGGGAGCTTTGGGACAAATTGTATCTAGTTCTTCAGATGCTTCTAGCTCCTAAAATAAGCACACAAGTCAGTTTTATAAAAAAAAAAATTATTATAACATAAATCTCCTTGATCACACCATAACACAGCTTATTGATCAATCAACTAATCAGAAATACTGTGTATTCATTGCAGGTTCTTATTAGTAAATATAGATTCATAAGAAATTTGTATCTTAGATTTATCACACTTTAAAAAGTATGCTCTAAATGGAATTTATTTACAAAGCACAGACTTCTCAATTCTAACCTTGATTATATCAAGTCCTCCTATGAGCTCTCCGGAAACGTAGAGCTGAGGATAGGTAGGCCAATTGGAATAGGCTTTGAGTCCCTGTCGAACCTCTTCATCTGAGAAGATATCAAAACTGCTAAATTGAATATTATGTTTGTGAAGAATTTCCACCATCTGCTTGCTGAAACCTGTACACAAAAAAAGAAAATAAAGCACTTAGCTTGTCTCTCGAAACATGTACACATGATAATACATTAGTTCAGCATACATATCATCTAATGGACATAGACGCCTGCCTTATTTTGCTGGTGATTTAATTAGCATGGCTGAATAGTATACAAACAGAAAATAAATTCCTGGATCCCCTTATTTGACCTTGAACCATATCACACACTCAGATATGACTTAACTTTTTGACACAACTGTGAGTATTAGAAAAAAAAAGTGGTGTGTGTATTTATTAAAGTTACTCTTCAATATCGTGGACATTTTCTGTCACAGAAGAAACAGCAGTAGCCAAAACGCAGAGACCTGAGGGTGATGGTGCACACCCGTGATCCCAGAGACTGGGGAGACTGAGGTAAGAGGATCACTTGAGACCAGAAGTCTGAGGCTGGAGCAAGCTATGAGATTGTCACTGCACTCCAGCCTCCAGTCTGAGTGATAGAGCAAGACCCTGTCTTTAAAAAAAACCAGCAATCTGAATCTGACACCTGCTCCCTCCACCCACCAAGGTGACACATGATGAGGCCATGGGTGGCCTCCACTCAGCACTTTCCTAGTAATCAGGAGACTGACCTGACGCTCTGGACAGTCCCTCCCAGCCTTCCTGTTGTGAACCTACAAGAATCAATTCTGGGCAGAGGAAAAAATTCTACAATTGTTATTTTTAACTACTACTTGACTATACTAAAAACCCAATGATGTTTCGTTTCTACTGCCATTTTACTACTTCCTGAGTTCCCACTTCGGTAGTTCTCAATCTTCACTATCTCTAAGTAGGATAAATTAAAAATCAAGAAGGCTTGTGTTCTCCTGTAGTCTGAAACACACACAGTACATTGAATTTTAAAGCTATCTTCTCTGTTGTTATATATGAACCATCAATAGATTGACGGTATTCTCTCTCATCTCATGTCATAACTTGACAGTTTCTTTTTTAAAACTATTTACATTCCCTAAAGTATGTAATGTAATTTTTTTTACTACACTATAGTGACAATTTTATGTTCCATGATTTTATTACACTTTTGTGACACATTTTTATTCTGTACTTTTTTGACATCATCTTATTATGACATTAGAACTGAAGAATAAGAGTGTGAATATCAGTCTTTTATAAACCTATTAGCCTAGTCTGGAAAAAAAAAGTATTTTTCTTTCCATAAGCTAATTCTTCTCCATTGTTCCCAATACTTTGTAGGGCCCTACTCTTTCATGCCTCATTCTTCTTCTCAAACACAGTTATAATTCACTGGAAAAGAACCTATTCTTCAGATTCAAAATTTCTAAAAGACTTAGCAGTATCAGCAATTGTTTTTAAATAAAATCAAACCATAAAATTCAATATAAGATTAATTGCAAGAATGGGCTTTACTGATGTCACCCAAAATCATATTTACTATTAAAACAGGGATCTACAAGTGTGCTCCAAACATTTTCCAAATCTGCAGTTTACTGAGATGAAGCACTAGTATTTATTTGTATAGCATGTAAGTTGCTTTTCCTACATCTGAAGTGTGAAGTTCATGTACAGCCTGAAGTAAAACACTGATTCTGAAATTTTTTTATTCATCTGGGAGTTCATTAGTAAACAGCTAACGGCTGATTGCTGATGGTTATTCTGTTGCCAATACATTAACTCATTTTTACTGTAACTGGCTGAGAAAAAGCTTTATTTTAGCTTTAGGCAATTACATGCAGACTAGAAAGATTGATTGGTAGTGTTTCATTTTTAAGGGTTAAAGTGGCAGACTAGAAATGTTATGCTTCAGGATAAGATGGCAAGAAGGCTTTATTCTGGTAACAAAATATTTACACACTTTTTTTTAAGAAAAATGCATGCATGCAATAAAAATATTTAAATGTAGAAAAGTAATGTTTAACTGCCACAGAATCCCCATTTCCACCCCCAGTCATTTCTACTCATGACATGAATAGGTGCCTAACACTGCATCTCATCACTACCTAACAATAAACCCTAAAAAACATCTTTGAAACCTGATTTTGTGGCTGATACTGATTTAAAAGTAAGAGCCGGGTTGGATGACTCTCACTGCAGGAGGAATATCTGACTATGACTTAAATACCTTTTGCTTTGCTAAAAGCTTTGTTAACTGAAATAGCTATAAGAATTCCCAAATAATTAACCTGCTCAAGGATTTAAGATTCTGTTTAAGATGACATATACCTCAGTGCTTCTGGAAACTCTTCCTAAAACAAGCATTTTCCTGTCTTCATGAGGATCACAGAATAAGGACAATCCAATTCTTTTCAACTGAGACCCTATCTACATGTCAGGCTCATAACACACCATACAATTCTGCATGCAGAGCCCACGTGAAGGATAAGAAGATGGAGACATGACCTGTGCAGGAGCTGGGCTGAGTCCAATGGGGCTCCAGCAGAAACCCTAAAAATGGCTTTCAAGGTTTTCTAGATATAAAATTTAAATGTTTTTCATTCATGTTTTTCTGATTAGCAGAAAGCAAGGTGGGGACCAACTAAACAGACATCGTTATACTCCACAGTGGAGTTCAGCGGTATTAGCAGAGGTAGCGCTTTCAAAGCTAATTTAGTGCAAAATAAGGAAAGAGCAGCCACGTGCGTGCTCACAAGATGAGACAGCCAGTGCTTTTATAAAGGGGGCTTTGCCTATACTCTTCTCTAAAATGCCAGCAGAAGAGCAAAAACAACGCTCCACTAAGCAGGCTCGGAAAGGAACAGCAGAGGGTCCAGGGGACTTACGTTCCCATAAGAAAACAGTTTAAAAATATTTTCCAATTAATCCTAAGTATTTTATTAAAGAACAGCAACATTCTTAAATGATCTATTTACTATGTAAGACAGAAAGACATGTAACAGAAAATATCAGGAAACAGAAAAACCCATTGAAAATGTAGTTATAAAAATTATATAGAAAACAAGTACTTTGAAAGAAGAAACTAACCAATCATATGTATCTCAAAATATTTATTGTCTTGCACTAAATATCTATAACACCATGTTTTCAGATGGCTCTGAAATGTGTTTTGTTCTGTTTTGTTTTGTTTTGAGACGGAGTTTCACTCTATCACCCAGACTGGAGTGCAGTGGCTCAATCTCGGCTCAATGCAACCTCTGCCTCCCAGGTTCAAGCGCTTCTTCTGCCTCAGTCTCCCAAGTGGCTGGAATTACAGCATGCCACCACGCCCAGCTAATTTCTGTATTTTAGTAGAGACAGGGTTTTGCCATGTTGGCCAGGCTGGTCTCAAACTCCTGACCTCAAGCGATCCGCCCACCTCAGCCTGTTGAAGTGCTGGGATTACAGGCGGGAGCCACCACGCCCAGCCCTGAACTATTTCAAAGTTTCTTTTTTATTCTATTATTTGTTCCGTCTTCCAAATGTCACTCCATTATAATAATATAAATATAATTTAAATAATATAAGTTTAACATAAATATAAAAATGCTAGGAGTATATTCTAAATTCAGTTTAATAAAGTGAAAAGCAAGCAGAAAAATTATAATTTCTAAGTTTCTCTCTAATTTACTTGAATAATCATACAGTATCTGCACTGAAAAGGCCCTCCAAGATTGGCTCCAACAGCCAATCTTATTCCCAACAGCACTAGAAGGAATTAAAGGCATAAGGAGGGTACCTTACTTGTCTCCAAAGTTGCTAAGGCCGCAGGGGTGGGCCTGAGGCTCGCCGGCATGACATCCAGTGTAGCACACTTCCCAGGACACCCTTCTCCTCTGAGCACCCCTTCCCCAAGCTTCAGTGTTGCCACCTGCCTTTTCATGAGTTTTATCATTCAGAAAAGACTGAGACTGCTGCTGTTCAACCCCAAAGGAGACAATACTGTAGAGATTTCACTGTAGGTGTGCTTCACCCACATTTCATAGCCAGTTCTACTGTACCTGAGATCTGAACGAAGGTGCTGAATACGATCCATTCGACTGAAGTGGTAAGTTCCCATTTAGTGGCTACCACATAAAGTACAAGAAACGATTTTCATGTTTCATGGAAGAAGGTGAATGTGAACCATGTGCAACCCCCGTTAAAAACAAAATAACAAACGCAACAGAGACTATCTGTTGCTACCTTTAGTTTAGTACAGACTAAGTTAGCTTTGCAATACATAAACAGCAGGCATTATGTGACACATAAATACTGGCAGTGAAATTTTTTAGGCAGAACTAAGAGATATTTTTAAGACAGAATTCACAGGTGGCTCACAACTGTAATCCCAGCACTTTGGGAGGCCGAGACAGGCGGATCACCTGAGGTCAGGAGTTCGACACCAGCCTGACCAACACAGACAAACCCTGTCTCTACTAAAAATACAAAAAAATTAGCTGGGCGAGGTGGCAGGCACCTGTAATCGCAGCTACTCGGGAGGCTGAGACAGGAGAATCGCTTGACCCCTAGGAGATGTAGGTTGCGGCCCGCTGAGATCGCACCATTGCACTCCAACCTGGGCAACAAGAGCGAAAATCCATCTCGAAAAAATAAGAATTCATCATGAAACTTTAGTTTTAAAACTAGACATAATCATAACCTAATATGTAATTTAATAGCCCTACAGGGAAGAATTTAGAATCAAATTCACAGTAGAAGCTTGGTTATCTTTATAAAGTCACTCTGGACATGCTGTAATCACATTAAGAGCATACTCAATGTTACTGCCCCATCTTAATAAAGTCCCTCCTGTGTAGTTGATACAAATACTCTTAGAGTCTCAACAGCATCATCAAATGGCATTAAATGCTCAATTATGCAGCATACTAATGTTGTACTAGGCACAGTAAAAAGAAAACAACATAAACCCAGTACCAGAGGGGTCAAATAACTCTAAAACTTACTTAAGGACAAAATTATAAGCATCCATGTGTACAGAAAATAAGAGTGACTACAGGCCAAGATTTCAGAATCTTTCCATTACTAGCAGCTATAAACTGGAAATGACAGCAATGTGGGAAGAGAATCATTAGACAGTGATGACGCAGGGGAGGCAAAAGCACACAGGGTGGACACAAAAACACTAAAATGTTCCACAAATTTTTTAATTGCTGAATCTGAACTAGGTGAAAAACAGGAGGCTGCCAAGAAAGAAAAAATAACTGCTAACAGCAAAAGCAGCTTAACAGGCAAAAGAGACAGCAATACAGCAGTTGGAACCTAATCCTAACTCTGCTTACCAGGTGATCTTGGGCAAGTCACCTCTATCTTTGAGTCTGAGGACTTAAGAATAAAACAAAAATCTGAATTAGATGAGTTCCGAGACTCCTTTTGGTTCCAACATTCTGAGTCCATAGTGCAAACTAATTCTTTTTTTTTTTCTGAGACGGAGTCTCGCTCTGTCGCCCAGGCTAGAGTGCAGTGGCGTGATCTCGGCTCACTGCAAGCTCCGCGCCCCCGGGTTCACGTCATTCTCCTGCCTCAGCCTCCCGTGTAGCTGGGACTACAGGCGCCCGCCACCAAGCCCGGCTAAAATTTTTTTTGTATTTTTAGTAGAGATGGGGTTTCACCGTGTTAGCTAGGATGGTCTCGATCTCCTGACCTTGTGATCCGCCCGTCTCAGCCTCCCAAAGTGCTGGGATTACAGGTGTGAGCCACCACGCCCGGCCTGCAAACTAATTCTTCTATAGTGTCACTGGGAGTTATAACCTTTCTGATTTTAAAGGTATGTGAACACAAGTATAAGATGTACAGTATAGCTTGGAAAGAGGATGCCCATCTCAACCATACCCTGTTCTGGGAAAGCACCCATTTTGTTTATATTATCTTAAAGGCAGCTTCTTACCACAGCGTGGTTCTTGAGGAGTTCCTTTCATAAACAGCATGCAGGGGGCAGCATGAGTCAATTTCTTCAAGCGAAGGTTGAGATCTTCTTTAAGATGTTCATTAGCGCTGGGTGGGAAGGAGCCACTAGATGCATGTCGCTGAACTTTTTTGGTCAACTCTGGGGCATGTGCACCATCTAATCGGTCGATTTTCTGAGAATTCTAAAGTTTAAAAAGTTATTTAGAATACATGCAGCACTCCAAAATAATGACATTGTTCTAGCAAATTTTTAAAGGGGACAACAGTATTACTGGAGATGTAAAAAAAGAAACCCTCATTGCCAACTGCCTGCACTGCATCTCAATTTTAGAAATACATAATACTTTTTTTCTTTTCTTGGAAACACACAGAGAAACACTGCAACATCTCAAAGTCAAATCAGGTCAGTCTAATATAATACAAAAAAGACGGCCCCCACACTGGCTGGGATGAATCTGTTATTAAGTATAAATGAGGCATTTGGGGAACTACGATGACACCCATGGGTGCCCAGCACAGTTGTGCACCTGCTTCCTAAGACTCATTCATCAAACCAGAACCAGTCAGAGGCTCCATTATGTCCAGGCACATGCTCTGAACAACCAATTTAACCAACTCAGGGAACACTGGGGTTCCACAGCCACATATCTGAATTTTGATCAAGAAGCTCTTGATTCTGGCTGCTGGCCCTACACAGTCCATGTAAGATGTTGGCAAGCAGCTGGCATTGTCTTCTTTTTCAGCATGGGTGCAAAAATGAGACTATCAGAAGAAAGGTGGAGGGCCGAAACGCCAAACACCTAATATTCGGGGATTAGGGAGAGGGTAAAGAACAAAATAGGTAGCCCCATAGCACCCTATAAATGGATAATCTCTTGTACCACCTTTATCCTTACCTTAAAAAACAGAAAAGTGGGAACAGAGCTAATTTCATATTTTTCAGATACTTCAGGAACACCTTCAGCTTCCAACTTTAAAATAAAAGAATTCAAACTTGATTATTACAAGGTCCTTTTTCTCTACTTCAATATGTAAATCAGTTTCACATGCAATATTCCTTCAAGTAGTTGGCATTTTTAAAGAGTATGGTATAAAAGTTTATGACACATTTACATTTAAATGAGACTCACTGGGCTGGCATGTCATCCACTGAGTTTGCAGTGTCAAAACAGGTTCAGAGGTTTTTATTTTGTTGCACATTTCAAAAGATGCCTGGAGGCTGTGAATAAAATTTTTGGTGCACTAGTGACCTAGTAAATTTTCAATCATATGCAGCTACTACTATATTGAAATCCATAAATCACTGACCCCAGTTATGTCATGATTACAGTGCTTATTTTCTGCCCACAGCAATTCTTGCTGTTTGCTCTATTGACTAATTTCAAGAGGCAGTACATCATGACTGACAGTTGCAGCCTTCTGCAAATTATGAAGCAAAAAGGACTATTTTTTCAATAAACTATTGATGTCTGATAAATTTTGCTTTTAACTCCTGCAAGGCTGCTGGACACTAGGCAGATAACTTGCTAGCTTACTTGCTTCCAATCTATTTACAATGTAAATGCCTTTTAAATAAGATGACTGCATTGTTTGATAATTTCCTTGAGGCCCCTCAACAAGACAGGATGTGATATCTGATGCATGAATTTAAAACATATTTAGTAACAGAATTTCTAAATAATTAGAGCACAATTACTGTAAGCTATTTATGTAGGTCTTTATAAATGATATACTTTGAGAAATACCAAGATATATCCTTCCCTCATAGGACTGTCAATTTAATATAAACTTTTTGAAACCAATAAAAATCTGTATTCACATTATACCTGTAGGAAATAAAATTTATTGATAAATTATATTGTTAAAAGTTTTTAAAATATATACACTGTATTTTTCCAAGAGTGAAAGATTTCCACTGGGCTTGAAATACTATTTTTATTTAGAGCCTTACCCAATCAGGTTATATCTACCCAAATAAAGTTTGCAGATAAAGTGGGAAGCAAAGTCATATGTATCTGGTTTTTATCTTCTATCTCCTACATTCTTGGGTGCTCTTTTACTACCTTAATTTTTAATATTTTAGAAAACCCTTGTGTGACAATATTTTTAATTGTTTCCATTTTTAAAATGTACTTATATGAAAATTCCATAAAATCAACAACGTCTAATAATCTGAAAAAAGAACAAAAAGATAAGGCATTCTGAGACAGCGATTTAGTACAGACTCTCAAAAGTTTTAAAGACGTTTGTGCTATTTTCTTTTACACAACAGCACACTCAGATCAAAGATGACCAGAAAAGTTGACGAGTAGGGCATGCCTACATTACCATCCTCCAGTTCATTATTTTCTGTCTTTCAACTAACATCTATGGAGTGCCCACTACGCACTGGGCATTGTGCAAGGATCAGAAAACGGCCTTCCTTTAGTACAACTGAATTCTAATCAAAAAGTAATACAAATCTAAAAACAGGGCAATACTAAGTAGAAATAAGGTAATGTGATCTTAAACCAGAACAAAACAGGTAGCACCCTGACTCATAAAAACAAATTCCAATCTTCTTTTAAAATCTGATTTCTTAGCCAGGCATGATGGCGGGTGCCTGTAATCCCAGCTACTTGGGATGCTGAGGCAGGAGAATCACTTGAACCCAGGAGGCAGAGGCTGCAGTCAGCCCAGATCGCACTATTGCACTCCAGCCAGGGCGACTAAGCAAAACTCTGTCTCAAAAAAAAAAAAATCTGATTTCTTGTTATATTCTTACATTCCTGCTGGTTTCCAGTGGAGTAACAATTATTCTGAGAAGTAAACGACCTCTTACAATTCCTGCTGAAGGCTGAGAACTACCACAACTGCCTCCACTCAGCTCCCAAAAGAAGAGATCTTCATAACACAGAGGCAATGGTAACAGACAAATCTTCAGAAGAAGGCAACAGGAATATCATTTAAGGCAAAAGAGTTCTCCAGAACATCAAGGGCATCTGACTGAAGTCCTAAAACCATTGCAGCACTAAAATTCATTACAAATACTTTGTTGGATTTAACATAACAATTTTAACAATGAAAACAGAAAATAAATATATAAACATTTTTAAAGGATCTTCATTCAGAAGAGCTCAAAGATGATCAGAAATAGCTATCGTTCATGGGCGACCTACTCTGTGCCATAAACTATGAGAAGGCCTTAACATAAAACAACCTAGCCTACAGACAATTTTGAAAGGTGCAAAATTTTAGCATGTTATCATCTCAAGTTAATAAGTGGTTGAAGAGGAGGTGCGATGGTTGGTTTAAGGTTTCAACTTGAATGAGTTAAGAGATACCCAGACAGCTGTTAAAACATTACTGCTGAGCATGGCTGTGAGGCTGTTTCGGGAAGAGACTGGCATTTGAATCAGTAGACTGAGTAAGAAAGATCCATTCTCATGCAATATGGTGGGGGAGGGGGGCACCATCCAGTAAGTTGAAGGCCTGAAAAGAACTAGGAAAAAAAAATGCAGAGGAAAAGCAAAAAAGCAAATCTTGCCTTTCTCCCTCTTTCTCTCTCTCCCTCCCTCTCCTCCGCACACTCCCATCCCCCACCCCTCCTGCCCCATTCCTCCCTCCTGGAGCTGAGATATCCATCTTCTCCTGTCTTTGGACATCAGAGCTCTAGGTTCTCCAACCCTTAGACTGCAGGACTTGCATCACCGGCCCCCCAGGTTCTCAGGCCTTCAGACTTGGACTGAGCCACGCCACCAGCTTCCCCAGTTCTCCAGAGAGTGGAGGGCAGATGGCAAGACTTCTCAGCCTCCTAAATCCCCTCACATCTATCTGTACCTATCCTATTAGTTAGTTCTGTTTCTCTAGAGAACCCTAATTAACACAGGAGATAACTTGGGTAACTTGCCCAAAGATACACAGCTAATAAATGGCAGAGCTGAGAAACAAATCCAAGTTTGTTTGACTATAAAACCTGTGCTTTTTTCACTATACCATGGTTAATTTTTTCTACTACTACAATCAAAAAGAAAGATTAGGATTTATACACTTCAGGACCAACCAAACATGAACATTTCCAAAACAGATTGGCAAAATGCCTCAAGTGGGAACCACTTGCTTCCTATACCAAGAATCTAAACCTTGGGACCAGTCCCACCTGCTATGTGTCTATGGAGAAGGAAAGAAAGCGCAAGGGAGGCATCAGGTAAATCCAGAGATGGGGAATCCTCTCTCTATTCTACTTTTATTGAGCAGGGGTCATCAGAGGCCACTGTGATAGTAACAGCAAATAGCTACAATTTATTCTGGGCCAGATACTATTCTAAGTGTGCTTCATGTACAGACTCATTTAATCCTCACAATAACAGGTACTGTCTTTAACATCCATTTTACAGAAGAAACTGGAACTTAAAGAGGTTCAATAACTTGGCCTAGATCACGGCCATGGTTTGAATGTATATGTCCCTCCTAAATTCATATGCTGGAAATTAACATCCAAGGTGATAGCAATTAAGAGGGGACCTTTGGGAGGTGATTAGGCCAAGAGGGCTCTGCCCTCATGGATGGGAACGGTTCCACTATAAAAGGGTTTGAGGCTGGCTAGTCCGTTTTTGCCCTTATTCTCCTGCTGCCAAGAGAGGACATGGCAACAAGGTGCCATTTTGGGAACAGAGAGCAAGCCCTTGCCAGACACTGAATCTGCTGGTGCTTTGATCTTGGATTTCCCAGCCTCTAGAACAGTGAACAATAAATCTGTTGCTTAGAAATTACTCACTCTAAGGTATTCTATTACAGTAGCACAAATGGACTAGGACAATTACAAACCTGTTGAGTGATAGAGGCAGTGTGTCTCTGGAGCCAAGCGCCTCCCTACACCACGTTCCACTTCATGGCTGCTGCCCTTTCTTCATTCCACAGACCCTTCAGTATCCTTCAGTAACAGTGACCACAACCACCTTCCTGCAACACCTTCCACTTGGCTCTCCATGTTTCCTCTGCCCTCCCGAACTGCTCAGACTCTGTCCGTTTCTGTCATCTCTGGCAGCCTCTGAACACCAGCATGTGCCAGCCTTGGTTCTGAGTCCTCTTCTATGCCTATCCACACTCACTGTCCTGGAGTGGGCTCATCCGATCTTATGACTCTAAATGACACTGCTATTATAACTCCCAAGTTCTTCCCAGCCCAGGCCTCTCCCCTCACCTCCAGACTATACACTCAACATCTGCACTCAGAGCTCTATCAAACACCTCTCACTAAACCTGCTCCTCCCCCAAGGCATCTCTATCTCACAAAATCCATCCAGTTCCTCAAATCAAAAAGGAGACAACCTTGATTAATCCATTTCTCTCACTCTCACATCTACTCCATCAACAGGTTTTCTAGGCTCCCCTCCAAAATATCATCCCACTCAGACCATGACATCATTTCATCTCTCACCTGGCCTAGTAGCCTGCTAACTGGGGTACCTGCTTCTATTCTGCACCCTTCCCCCTTCAAACCATTCTCCACCCAGCAGCCAGAGTGACTGACTTATGACAGGAATGGAACTGTGTCATTGCTACTGCACTTGGAATAAGACCTGAATGTTATCATTCCCCAAAAGGTCACTGACCCCTGCCTGCCACTCCAACCCCATGTCACACTCTCCCCTCCCTCACCACTCTCCAGCCCCACTAGCCTTCTGCTTTGACACTCTGCACTTCGGTTAAAAGCTCTTCCTAGCTCTCCCAATGGCTGGCTCCTTTTCATTTTCCTGATGGCCCTGCTGGCACAGTAGCTCACATCTGTAATCCCAGTATTTTGGGAGGCCAAGGTGGGAGGAATGCTTGAGTTCAGAAGTTTGAGGCTGCAGTGAGCTATGATCACACCACTGCACCCTGGCCTGGGTGACAGAGTGAGACCTTGTCTCTTAATAAAAAAAGAACTCTCTTCCTTAGATACACCTTCCAGTCCAATCTAAATAAAGTATCCCACCTATCCCAGTTCCCA